TTTATTTAACTATCCAAATATCCGCTTTTTTTCACTATTTATTTAAACATATCTTTCAATTGTTTGTCTTTTTGCTAAAGTAATTCATTCTAATTCATTCCTGCAATTCATTCTAACAATTCATTCCAGTAATTCATTCTAACAAGTCATTCTTTAATTCATTTTAATTCATACCAGTAATTCATTCTAACAATTCATTTTATAATTCATTCGAACAATTCATTCCAGCAATTCATTCTAACAATTCATTCCAGTAATTCATTCTAACAATTCATTCCAGTAATTCATTCTAACAATTCATTCTAACAATTCATTCTAATAATTCATTCTAGTAAATCATTTCAGTATTGCACAAATTATACATTAATTATATATCAATCATATAATTACTGTTATACCTATTAAGTTATTATTTCTTCAAGTATTATTAATAAATTTCAAAAATTTTTCAACTAATTTTTTTTTTAATAAATTAAAAGATTAATGATATATTTTGATTTTAGTAATACTTTCTTTGGTTTATAATCTTCAACTATCTTATAAGAAACTTTTATTACAATGAATTTTCTGTTAATTATATATTCTCGTAAATTGTCACTATTGTTTTATGATAATTAAATAACTCGATTAAAATGAAAGAAGATATCTAACACAGATTACAGATACCATTTTTGTCAGCAATAAAAGCATTAATTAATAATTGTTAATATATAAATTAATTAATGAATGATAAATGAATAATGTAATTGAAGTTCCAAAACAAAAAGAAAGGAGAAGAAATTTAACAGAAATTTCCTAACAATTTTAATCTTTAGAAAAATAAATTACTTGTTATATTTTTTAACAAGGATTAGCATTTTATCGCTTTTCTTACCTTTTCATCCTTTTCTTACCTTTCTATCCTTTTTTTACTTTTCCATCTTTTTCTTACCTTTTTATCCTTTTCTTACCTTTTCATCCTTTTCTTACCTTTCTATCCTTTTCTTACCTTTCTATCCTTTTCTTACCTTTCTATCCTTTTCTTACCTTTCTATCCTTCTCTTACCTTTCCATCTTTTTCTTACCTTTTTATCCTTTTCTTACCTTTCTATCCTTTTCTTACCTTTCTATCCTTCTCTTACCTTTCCATCTTTTCTTACCTTTCTATCCTTTTCTTATACCTTTTTATCTTTTTCTCACCTTTCTATCCTTTTCTTACCTTTCCATCTTTTTCTTACCTTTCTATTCTTTTCTTATACCTATTTATCTTTTTCTTACCTTTTCTTACCTTTCTATAGCAATAATCCAGTGATAATTAACAAATGAAAAATGAATAATAAAATATAGAAAGAAAATGAACAACAATTTTGTTGAAAATAAAATTTAATGATTCATTTCATTTTCATTTCAATTTTAAATTGCTTATAACGAACGGTAAAAAAAGTTTGAATATACCGGTAAACATAAAACTAAATATAACCTGGTAAATTTTAGTTATGAAAAAATTTGTTGTAAAGATAAAATTATCGAATACAAACTTATCAAAAAACAATTTTCTTTCTTTCTTTCTCTCTCTCTCCCTCTCTCTTCCTCTTTTGCATCTATTCTCTCGTTTATCTCTTCAACTATTTCAAAAATGTATTGTTTTGTAGGATTTCAAACATTTCCGGAATGATTTCAAAATGTACAATTCAATGAACATAAATTTGTTTATATTAAATAATAATCAATTTTAAAAAAGAAGAAAGTAATATTAGTAATTTTGCAATTAATAAATTAATAAAGTAATTATCCTCAGTAATTAACAAATTAAATGCAAAAATAAAAATTCATAAATATGAACAAATTTATAAAATATATTAAAATTTTTCGTCCATACTAATTTAAAAGATAAAATTTAAAAAGAGGAAAAAAAAAGGTTTCTTGAAGAAAAGAAGGTGATGAAAAGTAGTTATCACTTATCATTGGAAATTATTATTGATATTGATAAGTGATAACTAATATATCCTTGTAATTGATAAGCGATAACTAATGGATTCCTGTAATTGATTTCCAATATACACATATATATTTAGATATAAATAATGGAATTAATTGTTAATAAAAAAGTATGCAATAATTGGAGCAGAAAGGTAAACGTATAAGAATAGTGTTGTTGATTTAGACTGATCCATATTTATATAAATATATAGAGTTAAATTGAAAGATGAAATTAAAATTAAAGAAGAGAGAGAGAGAGAGAGAGAGAAAGAGAGTCAAGTGATTTAATTATTACTATTACTGTATTGCAGATAGATAGTATGATGTGATGATGAATGTGACAATGTTGGTGACAATGATAATAAGAAAGATGAGAGAGAAGGAGAATGCTGATGATGACGAGTGTTATTTGTTTAGAATATATTTGAATGAAGGAAATAGAGAGAAAGAATGATTATGGAGAGTGAATAATTAAGATGGAGGTATAAAAATGGAAAAGAAATGAGAAAACTTGAAAGATGATAGATGCAGAGATACGAGAGCAATTGGAAGAAAAGACTTGCAACTGTCAGGAAAGTTAATTGTGAATTGTGTAAAATGAAATGGAATGAACCGATGGATGTTTATGTGTATAGTTTCCAGCGGCATGTTTTCGTATGAATCTGACCGATTAATTTTGCATTATATAAACATTTAATCGATATTAAAATATGTATTTAATAGTAAATATATTGTTGGGATAATAATTAAAATTACTAATTAAATTTGAAAAATAATTAGTAGCTAATAATTGAAATAAAGAAAGTAAAAGAAAAAATTTGATAAATTTCAAAATTTCTAGTTTTTCCGATAAAATATGAATGAAAATTTTATGAGAAGGAAATGTAATATTTGTTGCACACCTTTACGTTTTAAAATTAATAAGAATTATGTTTTATTAAAGTAGCACGGAATATTTGAATCTTTCCTATTGCTATAGGAAAGATTAAATTGCTATAGAGAAGATCCGGATGTATCTGAAAAACTCCGGAATTCGATATGTAACAACTCGAATTGTCCATAATAAAAGCCATATTTGGTGGCCTTAATTTGTATTATATCTATTATCATCAAATAACGATAATACAATGAATAGAATTTAAAAATTGTATAACTGAAAATTGTGATGTAAATGAACTAAGAAATTTATGCATAAAAAATTTATGTAACTAAACTTAACTTAAACATAGAAATTGAATTAAGTATCAATGATTAATGAATTCATTAATTAATTTTTAAAAACTTAAATTACTAGTAGATTAACTTTACATAATTCAATGGACCATTTATCAACGATAACTGCCCGCTTCCATCTATTTTATTAATAGTTAACAAATATGAGAAATAAAATCTCATAAAGTTGAAATTTTAAATTTGGAATGATACGAGTAGCTTACTATTAAAATATACGATAGTTGATTAAAGAAATTAATATCTTCCTATCTGAAATTATCCAATTCGAGGAAGCAATCTTCGCATTTGTTTCCAAACTTTATTATTATTCAAAAATGACGATAGAATGCAACCAACCAATCTTCTTTGATGCAATGATAGATTTTGCAACCGGAAAAATATACATCCTCTTTATTAGTAAATTAATTTTATACACACCCACCTTCCTTGATCCTTACAGAAAATATCGTATAATAAAACATATCAATACATAATGATCGTCGTATATTAGAGAAAAAAGCGATCCAAAGAAATCTCTTTTCGTCAATAAAATCAAATAGAAATGATATTCCTTATAAATGAGCTAACGTAATGTGAAATTTAAAACACAAATTATAACTCATCTTAAAGGTTAAAGAGCATCTTTTGAGAATATTCAATTAATATGATACGGTTAAGGAGAATGGAATATATGACTTCATTAACTGTTGAAGTTCCTCTTTTGGAAAATGGCATTTCTATTTGCTCTTTTAATCAACAACAACAACAAAATATATTTCCTCTGTCAAAGAATTCAAAATTTAAAGATCATTTGAGCAAAGTAAAAAATTACGAAATGGAGAAAAACAAGTATGTCAAAGGGGAAGGGCAAACGGGTGAGGTAAATCGTTTGATCGGTAAGAATTATAGCCTTTGGGTGAAATACTTCCTTGAATTGGTATTATTTTTTGTTTTTGTTCAAATTTTCATCAAACAAAATTTGACGTATTAAATGCGACTTTTTTTTTGAAAAGAATATTTAGTTTGAGAATTTGAACATTTGTTTTAAATAATTTTATGATTCATGAACTATTTTCATATTTGTAGGAGTTTTGGGAAAATCTCTCCATCATCCAAAGGAAATCCAGGATTTCATATCAGGAGTAGTTATTCCAGCATGAAATCCTGAAATTCCTTAAATCCTTTTTCCTATTTCATTTTTCATTCTGGAATAAAACGATTCCGTATAAAGTTAGGAAGCTTATGATATTATTACTGATAAGGGATTTCAGGCTCAAAAGTCACTGTAGGAAAAACTGCTTCTGTTATTCACGATGCTCCGATCAGTTCACATTTTCTCTCCATCACATATTCATTAGAATATATTATAACCAAAAATAAAAGTTGAACGCTCCCATAAAAGAAGGCAGTTCCCATATTCCATTAATTATACGACCACTCTGTAGTATTCACAAGTAATACTTCGAATAAAGAAAAAAATGAATCCATCCGAACTTGCACATCTAACAATATAATATAGATGATCTCCCGATATTTTGTTCGCTCTTGAAAAATTTTGCTACTAAAAGTGACAGAAGAACCTTAACAAAGGAAACCTGCTGTAGTGATAACACATTTAGTCTATCTAACATTGTCATGATCAATACATCATATTCAACCCTAATTTCTTGATGCTTTAATCTTCACGTTATTCGCGGAGTAATTTCAGACGTAAGACCGGAAACAATTATTAATTGTTAAGTATAATAAATATATCACAGACGGAACATGGTTTAAAATGTACCCGCAAATTAAAATAAAGAGGCTCAAAGAAAGGATAAAACAATAATTTAATCATTGGGATAAACTTTCTTATGCCATGGTCGAGATGTATAATGTTTCCCATCGAATGCTTCGAAATAATTCTTAACAAGTGGATGAAATATCTAAAAATAGAGTCAATGAAAGAAATCCAGAAAAAAAGTATAGGTTTTTCGAAAAAAAAACGATTGCAGAATTCCAGAAAAAAGAGATATTTCTTATTATTCCAATAATCTGGAAAAACGGCCATTAAAAAGAACCATTGATTTCACAACTATTCCATGTTAGCCATTAATATTACTTTTTCTATCACAATAAAAAAAGCAACATTCTTTAACTAAAAAGGAAAGAAAAATTTCGAAAATGATGACAAGGTATTTAAGAATTTCGAACTTCATGATATACATCCTGATATTTTCTAACGATTAATTAACTCCTCTACACATAGAATAAATTTTTTCATTCATTCTTTTTTTTTGCACCATTTTATAAATCATATCCAACAATGCAGTTATCGATGCCTGTAATTCTTACTTTTTACCAGTAGATGGATTACAATATCCATCAGTACTTTCTACAACCAATCTCGCAGTAAAAATGTCATTTAAAATAAGTAGGAAGAAAGCATACCCTTCCTTCGACGAGTTCGATATTCTCTTCAACAATATAAGCCAACTGTGGAATTAGCCTATCCCTGGTATCGATTATAACCGAATAATTCGGCATTTCTGACCATTCCTGTGAGTGAAATCATTCATAAACAATACAAAAAACATTGCAAAATTTGAAGCAAATCCAAAATATCAAAAATTGTTCCGAAAATGCAAGCACGAAAATTGAGATATGAAATTGGCAGCCATCATTTAATACTGCAAAACATATGTCCTAAAAGCTTAAGAAAATCTAGAAAAACTTATGGAAAGTTATTCAGAGAATTATAGGCATAAAAGTGAAATTAATTTCTTGCTATTTAGCAGCATAAGTAGATTAGTAATTTTTCGACCATATTTACTCACTTTTCGGCCTTTATGCGTTTTATCAAGCCAACTTTGTGGCGCAACTGCTTTTTCATCCCAGCCAATGATAACGCCTCTATATCCATGAATTTTATGCCGTACTACATCTCCAACACGATATTTTATATAAGGTGGTCGCGGATCTCGCGGTCTGAGAGAACCTAAAAACAAAAGTAATGCACTATAATATCGTGGAATATATTTATTTTTGAACAACTATCACAGTGTCCATAATAACCGTAGTGATGATAATTTTCTATAATTGCTTTACATAGTTGACTCGGCCAGTGAACTAATCCATGAGATCGATAGTTGCAGCGTGTCTAAATCATACAATATGCCATTGCATTTTTAAATGGAACAATTAATTTTAGTAAAATTACCTCCAAAATATTTAGTTTCTTTCTCATCTTCTGATATATCAATGACTTCATCCACATTTTCTTCCCTATGTAAAAATAATCGAGAGAAATCCGATAATGAGTTTATCAGTCTGAAAAAAAAGAAGATATAACAATTGTGGAAACGATGGATAGCACATGCGTACACAAAGAATTCAGAACAACTTTTTGTGCTTCATGAGAGATTGAATTGCAAGGTACTATTCTTTTTTATCTAAGAATTACTAAACTGAAAAAAAAGCAAAGTAAAACTGAGAAACAATTCAGATTTAACAGAAAAGCGGAGTGAAATAGAAAATTGAAATCAAAGAGCGTAAGCTTAAAATCGGAATTATAATAGGACCTAATATTTCTAAATTTACAATTTATGATTCAACAAGTGAATTTTCTTTACATGTTGGCAAAACCAAACTTACTTATGCAAATGATATCTGACATCAGATGATGATGATGGTGATAAAAGAAATTGCAAAGGTACAGCGACAAATATAGCAAAGAAAATAATCACTGGAGTATATTCCACCATTGCTCGACTAACATGACCGTAATTCATAAGAACTGAAATTAAGAAAAAGTGAAATTTGAAAAAGAAAAAGTGAATTCAACAAAGCTTACTTGTTAAATTGAATTTCACAACATTCATTTAAAAGCCCTCTCCCTGAGTTAATCTTAAATTCAAAGAGATGTACAACAGTACACTAATGGCCCGAATATTCCAGCATAGTCTAATTTGAAGCTTAAATTGTCTAATTGATTATTGTCTAATTTGAAAAACAAAATCAAAACTTAATATTCCATACTAGAATTAACTATAGCTAAAAAAATTTGCAATAATATTTGCGCAGCAGTCATCATCACAATTAATTCTCACGGCATTCAAAATTTCAAAAAATGAAAACAATATACTTTCTCTAACTAACACAGAAATATGAATTTCGCAGAGAATAAACGAAAAAAAAAAACCTGATAGTGTTACTAATAAATAAAATGAGCATTTAATTTCCTTCTTCACAAAATATTCTCACGCTCGAAATCCAAAGCACATTCAAAATAAAATTACGAATATTTTCATAATCCATTCAAACATTCGATTTCGGCTTCACTGTTAAATCTATTAATCTAAACGAGATTCAACAATTAGTATTTCCTCATTCCGTACACGAGAAGGAGCAAAACACGATATTAGAAACCCTCCGTGTAAAGATGCCGGGCAACAGTGACAGAAGTGACGACGAATTAAAGGCGGACCCATATCAATGCAGCGTCATCAATAGACGGCCGCAGTTATGCAGTTTAAACAAGCAAAAATATAGAAAACAAAGGTGACAAATCACTATTCTATATCATTCAAATATTTCAAATTGTACTTAAAATTAATAAAAAAGATTTTTTTAATTATGAAATTTTTGAAAATCAACAAAATTGCAAATAAAATTGAAATTTTTAAGATCTGAGCACTGTACCCGATTAAATGAAACTGTCTAAAATTTGTACCACTAAGTAGTAATATATATCACATTTAAAACTTTCACCCCAACAGAACTGCCATAAACCCTTCTACCATGCGGCTAAAATTAGAAATATTTCGCTAAGTGACAATATTTACCAAAACGGTGAAACGCGACCTCGGGCTTTGACATGTTTTAATTGTTGGAATTTTTGTTGTTGAAATGATTTAATTTTATTGTTCAACAGGTAGTATGCTACGTTTGCTATGTAAACCAGTCTCAGTGCATTGCTATCAGGCTCATATTTCTAACCTATTTTACAAAATCTTTAGTAATATTTTTAAACATATTCTCTTTCTATTCTATCAATCTTTTAAGATTTATGGACGAAAGAATATTTTTGAGAGGATTCAACATCGATAAGATAAGTGTAAGTTGCAAAACTGGCAAATAAAGATAGCGTGATTACGTGAATGAAAATGAAATTAACTTGTAAGTGTAGTATGTGGCGAGGATTCGATAGTTATTAGTAATAATTTGAATAGAAAAGTGAACATTAATAAATGGATGATAAAGACTTCTATTAACCTTAGACAGTGGTTGATTTGATTTTACCGGTGTTGTTATTATCAGTTATTCTAATAAAATGCGTCTTTTTCGTAGTCTATCAGACAGTTAATGTTTTAGGATTTCACTTTGTTAACTTTCAGATAGAACATGTAAAACAATAAGTTGTAGTCTTTCATTAACCTTGTTAGCCGGTATCTTTTGATATTAAGAATTTCTCATATTTATGGAATTTCTTTTTTTATTTTAGTAATGAAACGCATTGGTTGTTTACTTTATCGGCACCAAGCACATCGTTGGATCAAACGGAATGACGAAAGAATGTTAAGAACAATTATCGTATCATCACCTAGTGCAGTGGAAGTTGTGAAATTGCGTTCAAATCGCTGTAACAATCTGGTTCCATCATGTGTTTTTGTCAAAGATAAAAGTTGGAAGGAGAAATTGGAATACGCTGCTGCTTGCTATCAAGTTGTAAGTATGCTCATTAAATAGCTCGTTTCGTCTCGCTTCAGTCATATAATTTAATAGATTTGACCTTCGTGGCACATATAGGTTGCAACCATTGATAATTTTTTTATCTCTCTTCAATAATTATCAAATGTTGCAGGGGTATTATGTCATAGGTCAGATCTTCGTTTTTGATTTAAAGAAGCCTTTGATGTTAGCGTACCAATTGCCTTATTCGTAAAATATATTGTTATAAATCAATCTTTTTAGCCATTCAACCATAAAATTTAAAATTTAAAATTATGCCTTGGAAGTATGCCGTTAAATTTCTATTTTTAGTCTTGCTCAATTTTGATTGTCTTTTCAGAATACTGAAGATGCATTAAACGTCGTTGTTTTGCTTGCTAAAGAAGATTGCGAAAAAGGGACGAGTACTGCCAATCGTTTACTTTATTTAGCAATGGATATGGCTTTGAATCAGGTTAGATCATCTTGTTTAGTTAATAAAAATCCTGCTCAATGAGCACTTTTTGTATATATGTCCACTTCTTCAGAAGTTTTAGAAATTAATTTATACTTGGTATGTCATTACTAAACGCATGAAATTTGAAAACTTCTGTAAAACTCTGTAATTAGATGGAATGCGCAAAACGTTGGGATTTTTCAGGGTCGTATTGATATAGCGGAAGAAATGTTCAAGTTATTGCCTCGACGTATTCATGTATTAGCTACCAGTTTGAAAATTCGTCTTTTCGTTCTTCAAAAACGGTTTTGGGATGCATTGCAAGAGGTGGAAAAAGTTTTAAATGAAGATACTGCAAGTTTGGATGTATCCATGAAGATTTCGAAGTCTGTAATGGATGAATTTTACAAAACGCTTTCAACTTGTGACGATGCAGTCGATGAGGTTGGCTTTTCTTTTACAGACGCCAACTGATAGAAAAATTAAATTTTAATTAAATAATCATTCACTTATCTATCTAATTACTGTAACTACTGACTGTTTAAGCTATATTACGTTTTCACGTAAGACTAAAATCTTTTTATTGCATCTGGTAAGACTAAAACTTTCTGTGAAACGTAAGATTTTTCTGACTTCTCTGTTACATTTCTAATTGCTTTTTTCCCTTCCTATCAAGACCCTGTTCTTTTTTAGGATTTTTATGAATCCAATTGGGGCAGCTTAAATTAACAATCTTAGTTTATTGTGAAAATGTTCGTTCAATATTTCCGTTGGAACTTGATATATAATGAAATTTCTAAATAATTTTCAAGGTCTTCGAAAATTTTCTACTTCGATAATTTTTTTTACTTCAAGTCTGGGAGAATCCAGAATACTTAGATTACCTTGCAATTAATTTATTTAATTGTGTAACTTTAGTAATTAAATTCAAACCATTCATATGATGAACATGCTCGATTTTATTAATCTGTGAAGTTTCATTCTTTCATATGAAATAAATCTTAATTTGATTCATAGGAAATATATTTCAGGTGAAAAGATTATTTACGCTACAGAGGCTTCTGAGCAAGTATAATAGGCGTACAACGAAAACACTGCGTGAATTGCTTCTGTCTGACATGTATATTCCGTCCAAAAAAAGATCTATGGAAATCAACTTTAAAATTGATGATGATATATTGGACAAAATTGTTGAACAAGTTCCGGAGGTGCTTACCAATAATAAAGCAGTTTTAAATTAGAGTTTTTTCATAATAAATTGTGTAGTAATGTTACATTTTGGATCGATCTGCCTGCAAAGGTTTCATTTTTTCATATAAGGTAGATATGACGATAGTTATGATATGAGTTGGATAGTTATCATATAAGGTAGATATGGCGAAATCGAATTTCGTTTTTTGCCTTAATTTTGAATGAGACCTGTCGGATACGTTGATTAAGCTCAATGTTACTGAAAGTGACAAAAAAAAACATATCTATTTCCAAGTCGTTTTGTCTGTTAGATCACTTCATGATTGCCAGTGACCTTTGCAACCATACTATTCAGAATGACGGTAGTTCGTAATATCAAAATTAGGATAACTAACTAGACATTTCTTCATAATTTTCTTGAATCTTTTGTGGTATGGTTTGAACAGTATTTGACTGTTATTATTTTTTTACCCTCGATAAGATTTTGTAGTTGGGTAGTGGCAATAAATTAAAAAAAATTTTCTTAATATATCGTGAAATTTCAATTGTACCATTTGCTGAATGAGACATACTTCTCGTTCTATAATTCGTAGTGCAGGGTGAAACAATTAGACTTAATTGGTAATTCCATCAGATAATTAGGTCATAACTTGATCGATTAATACCACTGGTACCGAAAAGCACTGAAATGAACTGTTGTTTTGAGATGTCGAAAAATCAGATTATGCATTTCTTAACAAAGGGGTAAAAGAAGTGTGCAGATTGAAGAGGAAGAAAGAGGAACTTGTCATCATATGTAACCTGTAATCGTCATAAGATTTTAAGTCATTGCCATCATATGGATGGACGGCCGAATTTTTGATGTATTAAAGGTTGACCCTGCCGTGAGTTGCACCAAAGTTCAATCAAGTGGAATAAAAAGTAATTAGGGGAGATTGTGAACCGGCATAATATAATCCAATATGGAAATCCATAAGCTTTCTGGGATGGGTGATTGAAATGATGCGGATATAACAGGATGGATGGGTTTAAATACCGTTTCAATAAGTAAGGAAGAGTGAGGGAAGATATCTGCGAGAGAATATATCGAAAAACCTGTTTGGTATCTAGGATTTTTAATCAGTAATGATTAAAAGAACTGCTGGTGCTGCTGCTAAAACCGATAAAAACATTCCCACCTAAAACTACTTATTATCGGATAGACGAGATGGGAAGTACCATCTGCCTTTTTAACTTATATATCTCGCAATATTTTCCATTTTCCTCATCTCTCATTATTCTTTTGTGGCGGGGTTTTTATTGGTGTTATGTGTGTGTATTAAATTTAACTGATACCAAATCTGCTTAATTACGGTATAAATATTTAATATATAAAATCTAAAAAAGTATTTCAAATTAACATAAAATTTTCAGGGAAATAAAATTTGCTGATATCAATTCGTATGAATAATATATGCAATCGGAACAAATTAATTAATATTAGAACCATTTGAATTTTATAGCTCTTCAACATTTTCAGTTTACTGATATTAGTCTTTAATGAAAAGCAAAGAGTAAAAGTTTATCATTTGTATATTAATGTAAACATTATATTCTAACAAATATAGATAGATTTGTCATTTGTTATATATTCAATCTAACAGCATCATCTCATTTACTGTCCATTTAGAACTATCCATTCATCACCAGGTGAGAGGTTATTATATTTACCTAAGGTACACACACATACACACACACAGGGAGACATGCATCTACACATACATATACATGCATGTCCAAATATACATTGATCTGTTCTATTTTGTTAACTTAATTTATCCTATCCGTAGGTGCTACTTTCCTGAAAACTGTTGAAATACATTTACATCCCACCTGATGCTAAATGACAATAATATGACCGTATTCATTTAGCCATCTTATTTGATTTGAAGATGTAAATAATGTTGTTGATACAGTTTACCCCCCCCGTATAAAGTGAAATTGTCTCAATCGTTTTCAATGGTTAGAAAAGTTGAAGAATGCTTTGGTTTCAGAGTCGTATTGATTGATACAATTCTCACTCTCTTTATGTAACATACCTGTTAGGTGC